TTTACATCCATGTTGAGGTGAATGAAATTTCATTTTTTCAGTTGTTGGAAACAACCAGACCGCGAGAGTGGCAAGGACGGCAGTAGTCCGGAGAGCGAGCATGATCTCCAACCCCAAACATCTCGTGCGATCAGTGCCGAAAGCAACAAGTCCAGTGGTATCATTCTTCTCTATCTTTCAATGACATTTTTCATACACGCACACTAATTCACTTTGAATATGGTTCTAAAATTTCAGACAAGGAGAAGAGGAAGACTGGCAAATTGCTGAGTAAAAACTCTAAAAATGAACGGAATGCACAGGTGTCACCAATTGATGCCGATGGGGACGTTGAGGCTTCTACAAGGTTACTAGTTATTCGTAACATTACTAGAAAGTGGCCAAAAAACTGTGTCTGTTTTTTAACTGGGATTTTGTGGCCATTTTCTGAGTTCAGCCATTGATTTTTTGTCTTTTTTTTGTTAATATGTCTCGTTTTTCTCAGATAAATTTAAAAGTACTAGCTGAATTATGCAGCTCTGATTCGATGGATCTGGCATAGCCGCGTCTGGTTGTGGGAACTTCCCCATAATACCGCTAGCACGGAATTTCTACTTTAATTACTCGGGCGATCTTGATATTCTTTGTGTTTCGCTTTTTTAATAACTTACTTTTATTTGCTATGAATCCATATTCCTAAGTGAAATGGCTTAGATGATAAAACAAGGCTTTTTTTGTTTAGTTTGGAACGAAACGAGGACTTGATGATACGTACGGAGAGTGGCACAGTTTACAGCTGCAAGGAGTTGAATTCTGATAAAGATCTAATGAGGATCGCCGAGTGGGGCTTCCCCATTTTTCATGTGGCCGAACGGCATCCCAAAACTACGCTTAGTAGGGTAAGGCTTGTTCGTTTTTTACTAGTAACTGAGTGAAACAGAGTGTATGATTTGTTTATTAGTTCAGCATAATTAGGCAGCTAGTCATTAAGAAATTGCGTTGCCAAGCGCCTATGCTTATGAAAGTTGCCCTTTTTTT